CCTACTGAGTTGAGCAGCAGGTTTGCATTTTGAGTCCACTAATACAGTGAATCATAGAGATTGAATATTTATTTACTTACTGGTATTGGGAATAAAACTCAGGACCTGGTGCTTACCAGGCAGGCCCTGGACCGCTGAGCTAGAGCCTCAGCCCTTAGACTGAATTTTAAAAAATGCCAAGACAACTTTGTAAAACTGGGACAAACCATGGTTCTTATGCTGTATTATCTTTTCTTATACACTGTTAGGTTTGAATTGCTTTAAAGAAAAGAAAAAAGCAGGCTGCAGTGCAGCTCTGTGGCAGAGAACTTGTGCAGCTCACTGGAAGCCCAGAGTTCACCCAGCACTACAGGAAAGACAACTGGAAACTCCCCACTCAGAAGGAACTCCGGCCAGCATCAGTCTCATGTCCTCCTCAGCGTTGCGAGCCCAGCAATGTCTCTCCTCTGCAACTTTCTCTAAGATTTTTGGCAGAATTAGTGTAACTTGTTCCCCAGTATTTGGTAGACTTCTCCTCTGAAGCCCTCTGGACAGGGACCAATCACTAGGAAAGTGTTTTTAGGAACTTTCTCTGACACAGACTACTTAGGTACCTCGTCGGAGTGCTTTACTGCATAGAAGGCCTCTATTCACATCACGCGGGTATCAACTCTTGGGAAAGTGTTGCTCAGAATCCTTATTACTGTCTGTATCTGATCTTCTAGTATTTGTAGGCCTGTAGGCAAGCCACCTCTGTCACTCGATCCATGGGAAGGCCACCTCTCACTCCTGACATTGGCAGTGTGCACCTTCTTTCAGCTTTTCCTCCTCAGTGTGACGAAAGGTTTGTTGAGTTCACTGTCTTCTCAAAGAACTGGCTTCGGGTTTTGCAGATGGTGATGGCCAATTTGCAAGGAGCATCGATCCACTCGAGAGACGCCTAGGACATGACGCACTGCTGTCTCTGGGCGTGTCTGCAAGTGTCTCCAGAGACAGCTGGATTGGGAAGGCCAACCTCAGGAGCAGGCCAACCCCTGATGAGGGCATTGTTGGAGGCAGTATTGGGAGGTGACAGACAGAAGGTGGAGCCTGCCTGAAGCCAAGGGGCCAGGGTGTGGCCACAGGGATCTGCCCCGGCTCCTAGCTGGCTCCTCCCTCCTCTGTGCTTCCTGGACAGAGCCTCTGGAACTGAGGGTGCCGCCCTCTCTTGTAGGCTATGGACGGGTGACTAACACAGTTTGCATTCTATTGATTTTCTACTTATGCTACCAGATTTTAATTTTTTCTCTTTGTCTCCTTTTAGAAAGTTTCTATTTTAAGCTCTCTTGTACTTAAGCTCAGTAATCCTATCGAGAACACTAGGCCACACTAAGCTTCTCCTGCACGGGTTCCCTCCAGACGCCAAAGCCTCACTTCTGCATGCCCCGCTCCGCCTCCTTCATGCTTCCGGGCACCACTGTGAGCACAGAAGACCACCACATCGCCCACCCCAGTCTTGCATCCGTGTCAGCGAGGGCTGGTGCTAGCTGCCCAGCGAGGCCCTGTGGGCCACGTCCTCACTCATCTGCATGTCTGGTATCCCCTAGATGCCAGGCATAGGGGATTTTACCTATTGGCTGCTGGACATTGTTGTGTTCTCACAACTCTTCAGCTCAGCCAAGAACTCACTTAGTTGCCCAAATCCAGTTCTTTCTGGGACTTGTGCTGGGGATGGGCAGCACTGTCCCTCACTCTGGGGTTGCAAGTCATCCTTCCTTGGACAGTGAGAACCTACCTCTCTCAGGTAGCCTGGCTCCCACCTTAGGGGACTTCCCTGCATTCTGTGTGCTGCCCTCCTCCCTCCAGGGGCTCTGTCCCTTGAGCTGTCCTTCTGGGGACCTCACTGTGCCTGGTGCAGGCTGGTGCTGACCCCGAGCTGCATCCTGGAAACTGCAGCTGCCCCTAGGAGGTGGCCACCTCCTCCCTTCTCTCTGGATCACCACCATTCACCACCTGATGGTTCAGCTTTGTAAACCAATGTCTTACATTTCTTATTTTTTACTTTTTGGTGTTTCAGGTAGGAGCCCAATCTGGCTCCCTCTTCATCATCATAGATTTATCATTGTATTTTTGCAAATCAAAATAAAAGCAGGGTTTTTGTTTTGCTTTCTTTGTAATAGGTTCTAGCCCTAGGATGAATTGCTAAAATCATTATGATGGTCATCTAATATGGCTGATGCCCTTAAAACAAAAGCCCGACTTCCCCAAGACCACCTCCCCTTCTTCTCCAACTTAGCCCAAGACGTAATTTACTTCCACCCTTCCCTCCACCTCAGGGAAGACTCGATCAGCTCCCTTGGGTATATCTAAACATTCCTTCAAGCCTCTCCCCAGGCAAAAAGCCATAGAAGCTTTGGCCTCCCTTTGTTCCAATCCAGAGAGAATTCCTCGTCCTTCCCCACACTCTCTCCCGTGCCCTCAAAAAAATCAAGCCCCTTCTTCCTTGTGCCTGTTTCTCTGCTGTGCTGCCAAGTACCTATCAGTTTGCAGTACCAGGGATCAAACTTGGGACCATTGTGCTCGCCAGGAGGCCACTTGTGCCGCTGAGCTATATCCCTGGCCCTTGCAGTTCTCTTTTAAAAACTGGACAAAGATAGCGCCGTGTCCATCCCCAGTTCTTTTCGAAGCACCTCTTTCCCCTTGCTCATGAGTAGCATCTCCTGACCTACATTCTAGTTCACGAATTCTCTTTTCATCTGGATCTACACTGTAGTTAAAACCATTCAGTAAGTTCTGAGTTTGGAATTTTGTGTTTTTCATTTCTAGAAGTTCCATGATGGCTCTTTTAAAAATCTCTCTTGTCAAATTTATAGTTTCCAGTTGTTGCAAAGAATTTACGAGCCTAGTTTGATTCCCTTGAGCATAATAAGCACATTCATTTTATGGTTTCTGGCTGATAACTCGGTCTCTGGATTTCTTCGCGTCTTTTTCCACAGCACACCACTTGCGTTTCTGACGTTTCTCCTCCATGCTTGAGAAAGATTTGAATTTTGTTGCAGACACCATCACAGACTAAGGGTGATGCTACCATTGTGCCCAGAGTACTCCTATTTGCTTCTGCCGGGCACACAAGTACCTGAGTGGGCAGGTCACACTACGCCAGCTGAGTTCAGGACCAGGAACATGAGCATTTTCCAAGTCCAAGGTCAGAGCTACTCAAAGACTCCAGGCTGGCCCCTGGCCACAGAGAGCTGCCTCGCCTCTGACTCACCTCTGACTCACTGTCCTCTGGCGCATTCCTCTCAGGCCAGCCAAAAGCAGGTGTGGCTGACTCTGGGCCACACCCTTGGTGGGTCCAGGAATCCCGCTTTGTTTCCTTTGCCCGAGCGCTTATATGGCCTTTTCCAATGGGGCACAACACCCCCCATCCTGGCCCACCCCGGTCTTACTGGAGGTCATCTCCACCACTCGGGAGCCCAGCTTCTGCAGGCGTCTGCCCCGAGTCGTGCGCTGTGCGCTGTGCGGAAGCCTGCATGCCCCCCATTCTGGGGTTGTTTCCATTTAGTTCTGTGGCGGGCTGAGGCAGGGCTGCCCTTCATGTCCCTTCCCAAGGTGTCCCAGGCCTCATGCTGGGGATGGGAAGCCTCCGTGGACCACCATCTAATTTTGCGTTTCATCCCACAACAATTTGGTGTTTGTTTCCCCAAATCCACAGGCTGCAGGCCCAACTGCCCGTGTGCGGGTGTCCGTGGTGATGCCCTGGGGTGAGGTCCTACAGCTCTGGCACCCTCTTGCTGCCTGCACCCTGAGGACCAGCCACGCTGATCTAGCCCAGGCCCAGTCCTCTATGTGTAGGCAGCTGAATTAGACAGAAATATTCTAGGCAGTCAGACAGGGCCAGGCCCCCAAGGAGATGAGATGGAAGACAAGGTGACTTTGCAACTTGGAAGAGACAGACACTCCCACATGGGCCCCACCTCAAGACAAAAGAGGAAACACATACAGCGACATACTTCCTAGGGAGGGGCATCAGGGATTGATATTCTAAATAGGTATTAATCACCTTGAAAGAGCCCTATTGAGTCACTAGCCCAACCCCAACAGGAAGAGCCCCTGTCCCATATTCATGCGCGCTTGCTATGTGACTTGCTTCCCTATTTGGTCCTGGATTTAATCAATTCTACCTGAGCAATGGTGCTTTTAACCTCATTGGTTGACCATAGTTTTGGCCCACCTCATGCCCACCTAAGCAAGTTCCCATGTTCTCCACCACCTTAGACCCGCCTCACATTGTTTTACACTATAAAAGTCCCTGAAAGAGACAGTTCAGGGACCTCCCGCTCAGTGCCTGTCCCTCCTTCTGTCCCTCTCAGACAGCAGTTTTCTTTCCCACAATAAATATATTCTGCTCATAACCTCCATTTGTTCCCAAAATTCATTCTTTGGTTTTAGAGAACACGAACTCATCCTAGGCACCTTTCAGGTCAAGAGTTTCACTTTTACCCTGTGTTATCCAGACCGAGAAGACTGCAGTTTTTCAGCCCTTCAGACCCTGGCCGTGGCTGACGCACATGAGGTCTGTGCTACCCGGGAGCTGCCTCAGTCTGGGTCGCACTGCTGTGACAACCATTGCATCATTGTAAACTGCTTCCCGGGGCCTAGTTCTTCCTAGGCCTTTATTTTTCTACTTGGCTTATAATCTTTAAGCAATTTTGAGGGTGCATTTCAGAGAGTCCCTGAGGAGTCTCTCTGGCTCTCCTGAGACGGCAGGCTGTATGCCCCGTGCACAGCATCTCCCAGTGCTCAGGGAGCGCCAGCCGGGTTCTATGCTGCCCTCATCTTTCTTCAAGCGGTCCTATGGAGCCCTGGGTGGATCCCAGGGCTACATGCATGTGTTGCAACCCACACAGAGGTACAGCTGCCTGTGTCTTCCACGACCTCAAGGGGGAGGCCAGCGCCCGGAACAGAAGAGCGACCCCCAGCGAGCACAGGAAGCGGCCTGAGGGGCACCGTGGGGCGAGGGCCCGGCCAGCAGGGGGCTCATGGCGGTGCCGGCCAGCGACCCGGGCGCGCTCAGGCTCCTGCTGCCCCTGCTGCCCCTGCTGCTCCTGCTGCCTGCCACCCGCGCGCACCCCACTGCCCCCGCGCCCACCTGTGGCCAGCGTGCCCCGGAGGGCCGGGTGTTGGGCGGCGTGCCCGCGGCAGCGTATAGGTGGCCGTGGCAGGTGAGTGTGCACTATGCTGGCGTACACGTGTGTGGCGGCTCGGTGCTCGACGCCTACTGGGTGCTGTCTGCTGCACACTGCTTCAACCGGTGAGCAAGGGGCGGCGCTCGGCATGCGGGTCCCCTCCCTCTGCAACCCTCCCTATCCGCCTCCGGAGCCCTGGACCTGCCTGAGCCGGGACAGGGTGGCAGGTGGCGGCACTGGCTCTGTCCCCACTCAGGGAAAAGAACATCGCCACCTTCGACCTGTACGTGGGCCTCACAAACCTGCGGGCCGCCGGCGCGCACACACAGTGGTTTGCGGTGAGCCGCGTCATCCTGCACCCCAGCTACCAGATGTGGCACCCCGTGGGCGGGGACGTGGCGCTTGTGCAGCTGCAGTCGCGCATCGAGTTCTCAGACGCCGTGCGACCCGTGTGCCTGCCACCACCCACCCTACAGCTGGACAGCAACACAGCCTGCTGGGTCGCAGGGTGGGGGCTGGTGTCCCCGCAGGGTGAGGACAGGCCAAGAGGGGTGTGTGTGGTCACTGGAGTGCGGCCTGTGGGGCCCGCAGATGTGGGGTGGGTGGAAGTGCACCCTGGGAAGGGCTGGGTGTAACTACTGTCAGAGAGGGGACCCCTGACTCAGGCTGGGGCAAGTGGAGGGGGGGGGGCTGTCACAAGAGGCCTTGGCAGTGGGGGAGCCTCTCCGCAGGGGGAGCCCCAGGCTGGGCTGGCAGGCCTAGGAACCGTGGCCTGGAGCTGGGGCGGCTGCAGCCTTGAGGCCTCCCATGCAGCCACTGCCACATCTGGCTTCCCTCTCTGCAGGCCTGCCTAACGAGCTGCAGGAGGCCCAGCTGCCCCTGATTTCACAGGCCCTGTGCAGGCTTCTCTACTCGCCCTCCGCCATCCAGCAGGACATGCTGTGTGCAGGGAGCTTGAAGACTGCATGTGAGGTGTGTGCCCGTAGCCTGGCGCGGGGATGGCGGCCTGAGCACCTCCACTGGGAAGGGGCCTAACCTGCCCCATGTGGGACCTCAGCAGACCCCATCCTTTGCAGGGTGACTCTGGGGGCCCGCTGGTGTGCGAGCTCAACCACACATGGGTGCAGATTGGAATCGTGAGCTGGGGCCAGGGTTGTGCGCAGCAACTGTACCCTGCAGTGTTTGCCCGCGTCTCCTATTTCTCCAGTTGGATCCGCCATCACATGGAGAGGACACCCCTTCCAGAGCAGCCAGCCCCAACCCTGGCTCCTGCTCACAGTGCCACCCTCATTGTGCTGGTGCCGGTGCTGACCAGCCTGGCATTTTCCTAAGGGCCTGGGGATGCCCAGCGCCCTATGCAGCTCCTGTCTGTGAGGTAGAGGCTGGACCCAGCCGTGCAGCCTGAAAGGGGTTAAGTGGGGAGAGGGCTGGAGGGCGAGGCAAGACCAGGACCCCAAGCCGCAGATATTAAACGTTTGTGAAGCAGTGCCTCAGCCCCTGCCCTGGTCTGTCGCCCAGAGCCACTGTGGTCCCTCCAGCTGACACAGCAAGGTCCCGGGCCTGGGCTCTTGGGGGAGCCCCGCAGGGGACACCTGTGCAGAGCTGGGGGTGCAGTCAGAGCAGAGGCAAGAGCCCAGGCCACTGGGAAGGCCTCTAGCCTGTAGGTGGAGAGGTGCTGAAAATGTCAATCAAGCAGCTTAAGGAAACAGAAAACTCCATGAGCCAGCGAGGGCGGGCGCAAGGGAGGAGCTGAGAGACCCGCCCAGAAACGCAGGAGGACGGGTGCAGAGGCCTGGTACCCACAGAGCCTCAACCTGATACAGCCACTTCCAATGAAAATACCCAGGAGAGGGCTGGGGAGATGGTTCAGTGGAATAAGTGCTTCCCTGGCAAGTGCAAGGGCCTGAGTTCAATCCCCAGTTCCTCAAAAAGAGAGAGAGAGAGAAAAGAAAATACCCACGAGGGCTGCGTGCGAGTGTCCTGCCACCGTCCCTGCAGGGCAGGGTGACCACCACTGGCACAGCCCTGGCACAGCATTGGGTGCTTCAGGCCCTCGGGGTGTGCTGGGCTCCACACAGGTGTGGTACAGGTCATGGAGTCCATCTGTAATGGGGTGAAGGACACCTGTATTTGAGAGTGCTGCTTTAAATAAAGATACAAAAGTGGAAAAAGAGGTAACACCACAAAGACAGGTAAAAACAGAAATACACAAAATAAGAAATGACCAGGAAGAAAAAACACTGAAACAAAATTTAAGAAATCCTGAGACACACAATTCTAGGCAAGCACTTTTTTTTTTTTTAAGCACATTTTAATAAAAGGAAGTAATGCCATCAAAACTATCTCCAGCTGAGATAGAAAGTTTAAATCAAATTCCATAAATGAAGTGGGAAAGTGCAGTAGAGGACATTTGGTCCCAGGACAAGCCTCACTGAGCCGGTGCCTGGAGAGCCGCACTGAGCCAACTGCAGCCTGGCTGTGCCCAGCCAGGGACAGAAAAGGCACTTCCCCATTCTCACAGGTGGGCACCTGTGGATGCAGTAAAACAAACTTGCCCAGCACAAGCTTGGACAGCCCAGCTCAGATCACGGGCACAAGTTCAGAAATGCAATGAAAGGAAACAAGCAGAGGTCCATGTTATTTTCTAAAATGATGCTTTATAATCAAGTGGTTTTTATTTCAGTTGTCTGAGGATTAAATATTAGGAAACCCATGAGTATAGTTCATCATTTTAATTGATCTGCTAAAGAAAAGAGTATCCAGCTGCCATAGTGGCATGCACCCATAATCCCAGGACTTGGGAGGCTGAGGCAGGGGAATCCCTGCAAGTGCGAGGCCGGCTGAGGCTACAAAGTGAGTTTAAGGCCAACCTGTACCACATGGTGAGATCCTGTATTGAAAAGACTGGAGGGGGGAAAAATCAATAAACAAGTGTTTGCTAAATCCAAAACCTATTTCTAATTACAAAATAAAACAGAAGTCAATGTTTTAAAACTTGGCTTGATGGTGAGCACCTGTAATCCCAACCCTCACAGAACCAAGGCAGGAAGATTACCCAGAGTTTGAGGCAAGCCTGGGCTATATGGTGAGTTCAAGTCTAACTTGAGCCACAGTGAGATCTTGCCTCAAAAAACCAAATGACAGGAAAAAAAAAAAAAATCAAAAGTTCAGTGAGCTAGCTCAGTGGCCTGAGCACCTGCTTAGGCAAGTGCAGAGACCAGAGTTTGATCCCTGGCACCATAAGCCGTGCTGGCCCTGCCCCAGGGCACACTGAGCGGGCCACCGAGTCCAGGCATGGTGGTGCACACCTATAATCCCAGCACCGGGGAGGCTGAAAACAGAAGGATCACTATGAGTGTGAGCTGCATAGTGAGGCCCTGTACCAAATACTTTTTTTTTTTTTCTTGCAGAACCAGGGATTGAACTCAGGCCCTTGCACTTGCCAGGGAAGTGTTTATTCCACTGAGCTATCTCCCTGGCCTTTTTTTTTTTTTTTTTTTTGGTATTTGAGGGAAGGATCTACAAGGTGTTCAGGGTCTCACTACTAGATCAGACTCATAGTGATCCACCTGTTTACAGTCTCCCAAGTGCTGGGATTATAAGTGTGCGCCACCACGCCCAGTCTCAATTGCCATCTCAGCATGCCCTAGGGGCAGGGCCGGCAGGGCAGGCCTGGAGATTGAACCCCCCAGGCCCTGCGCCTGCTTGCAGGCACTTTAATCCCCTGAGATATTTGGCCAGCCCAACATTTTAAAAAATAAATAAAAATAAACAAGTTGGACCAGGGATACAGCGCAGCAGCACAGCAGCTGCGTGACAAGGGTGCAGTTTCCAAGTGGCCTTCCCATGTGGGCCCCTTGACTTTGAACCCCAGAACTAGGTGCCTGCCAGAGATGTAAAATGAAATTCCTAAGCAACATGCTGAATGCTAGAAACCAGGAAAATAATGCTGGCGCCTGGAATCTAAGTCCCTACCTGCATGCAGTTTATAGTCATTTCCTTAGTAGTAAATGAGAAGGGAGCGAGGCAGGAAGATCACAAGTCCAAGCCCAGCTCAGGCAGCTCAAGAAACTGCCTTGGAATTGCACAGAAGGGGCTGGGGTTGTGGAACGGAGGAAAGAGCTCAGTGTGAAGGCCTGGCTTCACTCCTCAGCACAGAGAGAGGGAGAGAGAGGGGTAGAAAGTCACTAGGGCAGGAAAGGAGAGGAGAAGGAAGGAGAAATGGCAAGATCATTTTCTGCTCAGTAATTGTTTTCCATGTGAATTGATTGAACTCACCATTTGAAAAGCAATGGTTGTAGAACAGATACAAATAACCCAGAAAGCAAAGAAAAAATCAAAATAATAAACCCCCACCAAATGTGTGATCTATCCTTATCCCTCTATTATCTAGAAGAGTTTCTTTTTAGATTTAAAGGCACACACAGGTAGAAAACAAAAGAAGGAAATGATATTCCATGCAGATAGCACAAAAGAAATGAAAATGGGGCTCTAAGTAGAAAATCATTGCAGGAGACAAGGACATCACATATCGGGGGTCAAAAAGGTACAGCAATCACAAGCATGAATGCACCCCAAGCACAGAGCCTGAAATCTTGCACATTAGGCAAGATGTGGCAGATATAGAGAGCATTCTGCAGAAGCAGCTGAGGAAGACTCCAGTATTCTGCTCTCAATAATGGGCAAACCAAGGGACAGAAGAAGAAAGGAGGACTGCGGAAGGCGTGTCCCAGGAGTACCCGCGTGAGCAGTCCCAAGCACTGGCAGGCACAGCGATCTCAGCATTCACTTCAGTTCTGGGTACAAAAGAACCAAAGCACCAGGGCCGTGCTACATGAACAGGGAAAAGACACCCGTTCAAACTGATGCCCAAGTAAAAAGGCATTTGACAAAAGCCAAGATCTTTCAGGGCCAAAGCACAAATAAACCAGGAACAACTGGACGTGGTACCCTCCCAGCACTCTGGGAGGCTGAGCCCCAAGGGTCGAAGTAGCTAATTAATGAACAGGGCTGGAGCTGGAGCTCAGTACAGAGGCCCTGGGCTCAGCCCAGTGCCTGAAGACAAGAGGGAATGCAAAGAAACCCCTGAACACCACAGGGGCACACTGGACGCCCTGCAAGCCCATGGGAGCTGGACCACCACTCCCCACAGCCCTGGCAGGAAGAGGACGGGCTCGAGTGGGAGGAGAAAAGAATGGGGTGCGTGTGCCGTGCAGTGTGGCTCTGCCTCGACAGCCTCTGCGGTGTTCACACACACGCACAGCACACACGCCAAAGGGCTGCAGGATGAAAACCTCATAGAAAGCAGTTGTATAGTGTGTGGCGGTGCCTCAGCTCAGGGGCAAGCCTAATTCATTCCCAGATTCTGGGAAGGATGGCCATGTTCACCACCCAATGCACAATTTGAAAACAAAAACAAAATTTTGTCAAATGCTTCTGTTTGTGCATCCACACTGCTCCCAAACGCGAGGGTTTGTGAAGCGAGGTGCTGCCATATTTGCACACAACATCAGGGAGCCTTGGAACCCAGGCTGGGGGTGACCTGGTAGGCAGGGGCCCAGCTGGTGTCCACAAACAGGAGGCAAGGGGCATGCAGGGGCCCCCTGCACCAGCACAGCCTTTCCCTTCCCAGGTCCAGCCTGCCCAGGCCCCCAGAGGCCAAGAGTCCAGGCCACCAGCCATGGGCACCATCCAGTTCCACAGACAGCACCATGTGAGGCCAAAGACCCTTTTCACATGTGGACTGGGCTGGTGCCAGAGAATGCTAGGATCAGCCACACTGGGGATGTCCCTTGGGCTGGGGCAAGGGCCTCAGCTGAGGTACACAGCGGCAATCCTCCATGGGTCATCAGACACAGGAGGACTGAAACCCACATCCTTGGGGGAACCCAGGAGGGGCCTGCAGAACAAGAGGAGGGCTCAGTCCACACCAAGGACAGGGGCCAGGGAAACCCTGATAGCCAATGGGCAGGGCATGGGACAGAAGTCTGGGCCAGGTTCCCGCACTGGCTCTGCATGTTCCCTGCCCCACAACCAGAACACCAGCTCCTTCCCTGTCCCTGCGCTGCCCTCCGCTGTGCCCCCACCCACGTGAGTGTGGTCTCTGCTCCCATCTCATGCACACTGACCCTTGGAGGTTGGCAGCGAGTGGACCATGTCCCACTCTCCATGGATACGATGCACACTTGCTTATAGGTGCTGTCACTGCCCCCAGTACCCACTCCACCTGCGCCACTCCCACAGGGCCCACTTCCCCTGCAGAGCCCCCTGAGCCCTGGAGCTGGGCAGTGTGACTGTCCTCAGGCTCCCCTGGTGCTGCCCCAGGCTCTGT